AAAAGGCCATAAAAATGCCTGTGTTCTGAGACAAATGATGAATAAATCAGACAAAAAAGGAAAAAGAAGAAAATAATGAGAGAGAAAGAAACACAAGAAGCATTGAAATTGGGACAAGGAAGTAAGGCCATCCGCGTGTGAGATTGAGGGGTTTGGAGAACCGGAAACTGTTTTTTTGGGCGAGGCTATGAGAGAGTTGATGTGCTGGGGCATATAAAACAGACAGGGAGGGTCTGGAGCAGGCATCAGTTGCTTCTGTAGTTTGCCTGAGACTTCACGGTTAGCTAAGCAAGCCAGCTGCATTTTTTCGTGTGCCACGCTCGTCAATTAAACAAAAATCACCGAAATCATCATGAACTCTCTGGTAAGTAAGACTGGGAAGGTCTGGGGCAGGCATCAGTTGCTTCTGTAGTTTGCCTGAGACTTCAAGGTTAGCTCAGCAAGCCAGCTGCATTTTTTCGTGTGCCACGCTCGTCAATTAAACGAAAAATCACCGAATTCATCATGAACTCTCTGGTAAGTGTCTGACGAAATTATCTGGAAAATTATAAACTATTGAAAATTTCCACGTTTAACTTCACATTTTATAGACACGAATTCAAAGCGTGGATCGCGACATTTTGAGACATCATAAATCTCAGGAGTTAGTTGATATCAAATAAATGGAAAACGTCAAATCATTCTGTCCAAATGCGACGTGATCATGAACTTCTCATTTTTGAAAAAAATAATCCTATATACAAAGACATACCTCACCTTTAGTTTATGGGCACGTACAGTATTTCGGAAAAAATTCCTGTATCTCAAAATTTGGAAAGGGATGGAAGCTTTGCCCTGCATTCTCTCAAAAATGACAGTTTCGGCGGACTATAAAAATAATAATGCTACTTGTGGTGATTTCATATCTGAAGCATACTTTTCTGAAATTTACGAGTAAATAATAACAATGCGAGATATTAGCTAGTGTATTTAATTTTGATGGCAAAAACGGACCGCGGAGAGTTCGTGTGAAAATATAAACCCGATTTATATGCTACCGTAACTCATAGATTTAAAATTATTTTCACAAAAATAACGGCCAGGTTTCCAAATCAACGACAATGACTTGCTTGGTGAATTATTCAGAATTATATTTGTGAGAAAAATTAAAAAAAATCAAGAAGTCCTCTACTAGAAAAAAAAATTCCTCAATACTCACAGATTCCTGTCACAGCCCTGAACCATCTCTCAGACATTTGTCAAATAAATTTTCCCACGTCTTAAGTTGAATGTCACGGTCACAAAGGTTACAATCGAAATGCTCACAAAAACAAAATTATTCTATTCAAGTTCGTTTACGTTTCCAAGTTTCTTGGAATTTCGGTTTCTGCTGCTGCATTGTACTTATCCGACATGGATATACTGTATCTGTATATCCACGAATAGATCTTGTTGCCGTTGTGCTTCGCTGCCTGCATGGCCAGCGTGTTCCCTGTTGGTCTCCACAAGCAGTACGTGCACCACGAGCACCTCGTGGCACCCGTGGTCCACAAGACTGCCCACGTGGCACGCAGTCAGTACCACAGCCAGGACAACTTCGGGCAGTACAGCTACGGATACGCCGAGCCCAACGGTGCCAAGAAGGAGACTCGTCATGCTGACGGCACCGTTGTTGGTTCTTATTCGTAAGTTTCAGAAGAAAATAACCCTATA